TATTAATATTTTTAAAACTAAAAATAAACTAAAAAAATACATGAATTCTAATATTTATGTTCCAGTATATATATACCAGTTCTATTTTGGAAGTAACATGAAAATACAGGTTAACCTTTTTCAGTTATATTAATATTTGCATTTAAAGGTTCACACAACTAATAGATACCAGATAAATACCAAAAGATATACTATTTTTGAATTTTAATTGGAAATACAGTTTTATATTTTTTATTATAATTTATTACATTTGTTATTAAATACCAGTATATATACCAGTATTTATCAGTATTTGTATATCTGTATTAATATACATATATCTATGTGCAGGTATGCATATACCTGTATTTATGTCCCAATGTATAATGCCGGGAGTATAGTATTTACATACCGGTATTTATTCACTAGTATTTATATACCGGTACTTACATACCAGTATTTATATTTATATACAACTTTTTTTGAAGTAAGTATGAAATTTAGGTTTATTTTTTATCAACATATTTGCATTTTGATTACAGAACTCAAGAAAATACATATATAAAATTATTTATATGCCAGGAAATGCAGTTATATATTCTTTTACTTATTAAAGGACTCGCAAAACTAAAGATAAACATAAATATAGTCCTAGTTGACAATACACTGGAGTTGGGTAGTTTTAATGGGGATGGTGTGGAGGTCCTGGCGGTCCATGATGATGAGGCGCTGGAGCCTGATGCGGTGGATTCGGCTTGTGTCCATGATCGGGACCATGTCCATGTCCGCCTGGATTATGAGCTCCTGGTCCGGCTGGTCCATGTGGTCCTGGTGGTGGTGGCATTTCTTGCACTTAAAGCCGTTGAAAAATTTACAAGTGAAATGTTCGCTATTCTGCGGTCAATTCAACCCTATCGATTTGCCAGGTTCATTAGATATTTATATATCATGGCAAAGCTTTTTCGAACGCCAGTTAACTGTCAAAGTTGGAAAAGCCCGTGAAAGTTGGTTTTTAGCCTGGCCTCGTACTTATATAGATAAACTCGAAGGTGTAAACACTTGTGTGAGGTAGGTGAGGGTAGGTTATTATCAGCATTGTTAAAGAGACGATTAATCATTGTTTAAGTTTTTCATTTAATGACCAATATTTTTTCTTTTCTTTTTATATTACATTTATTCGCGTTTCACATTGAAAAGTTTACTTTGAGGAATATTTACTTAATATTATACTTACTTAATATACTTACTTAATAATATTTACTTAATATTGAATTCATTCAAGAAATTACGTGGCGTTGGGTCCACAGAATAAGGTTGAACGCATTTGTTATTATTGAATTGTTCATTTATAAAAATGAATTTTCATTAAACTTTTCAAATTATTTTATTTTAAATTTGTTGCTGGAATTGCAACAGGGACTTTCCGCTTGATGTGCGTATTTCAGCTTTGAATTGAACCTGCGATTTTCCGCTTGCTATGCATACTTCAGGTTCAAATCGAACCGGCGACTTTCCGCTTGCTGTGCATATTCAAGCTCTTGCAGTCAAGTCAATCAGTTACAAACATTTGCATTATAAAGATTATCTTTAGTATCCATTGAGAACATATTATATTAAATTTTATACTTAATTTAAAATCGTAATTTCCAAGGTCTAATTAATTCCAAAATAGCACATGCATATCTTAGCTTTCTTTTCCGACTAAAAGCTATCATATATAGATGCTGCCTATAAGTATGCAGCACATACGAGTCTGCAAAGCGACTGAGTGCACACATTTGCCTGCTTCGAGATATTTGCTCGCATGACCTGACCAACTAACTAGCAAAACTATAGAAAAGCGAGCGAGAAAAAAAAACATGCGACCCACTTGCTAAACTCTCCAGACACTCTCCACAAAAACGAAACCCAAAAGAAAATAAGTAGGAAAAATAGAAAAAAAAGGGCAGCGGATTTGGCTTTTTGAATTCAATTAATTTTATCTGCATCAATTTAGCCTTTATAATCGCATCAGAGTGCGCCAACTCGCATAGCACACATACTCAGTCAGAGCAGCAAGAACGAGTCACGGGCGAACCAACCGATAAAATCCCAAAAAAAAAAAAATAGTAGAAAAACCCCACTTGAAAGAGCCGCTGTTGCTCGTAAAATGTATAAAGTCATTGCAAAAGCCAATTTGTATATCAGCGACGGACTACGATGGAGGCCCAACGATTATCAAAATGCGAATATGGCACAGGGCGCCGGCCAAACTTACTTAAAATGCCCTTAGCTTACGGGGTGGGTAGCTGGGCTGGGATTGGGTTGGGTTCCGGGCTCTGGGCCTGGGCCTGGGCTCTGCCGCTTTCTTCATGGCAACAATTACATTTCACAGATTTACGTTTCGGGGCGCCTTGGGTCGCGTGTGTTGCATGCTATTAGTGTGTGTCCTTTATTTGGCTTATGGAGCTTACATTACCGCCAACTTCTGGGACCCGGTCCGGGGGCACTGGGGTACCGGGGTAACTGGGTAACTGGCTTTCGACTGTCGCTGATGTGTGCCGTCTAAATATGAGAATGTTGTGTGAAAATGTTTAAAATCCACGCGAGCTTTTCAAGCGCAAATGCTTAGCACGCCAGTAGACGTGCACAGTGCCGTAGGCAGCGGAGGGGGTTCGATTTTTAGACTTAAACAGCTCCACACTTGCAAACAAGGAAACAAGTAAAAGGAGACAAAAGGAGATATTTCCCTTTGGAACCTAACGGAGTTTTAAAACTAACCTTAAAGAATAACTAAAATGTATATTTATTTATTTATAATATTTTGGGTATTTGTCAATTAGTTTCCTTAAATTTTTTAACATTGTGGAATTTTCCTATGAGAGCTTATAGCTATAAATCAATCCATTTTAAGGAAATGTGTTAAAGAGTAAAATTGAAACATCTTTGGAAATAATATTGGCTTATATAAATATTGGGTATATTACATTTTAAAAGACTTATTAATATCCTTTTAATAAAGAAATGTTTGAAACTTTTTTATATTTTCCACTAGTTCACAATAGCTAATATATATAAATAAAAAAACTATGTTTCTAAAATAATAATATTTATTAAAATAATAAAAGACATAATAATTTAAGACTTTGATTAGATTATTTTGTCTAATAATATATAATATATATTATTTGTCATATAGGGTATGAAAAAGTATATCAAATATATCCGGACTCGATTATTTTTAACACAAAGCAAATGAGTTGAGAGATTAAAGAAATTAAATATATAGAATAAAAACTATGTAGTTTCTTAAGTATTTTTCAATAATATTCTTAGAAGGTTTTAATTTAGAAAGTTTTGACATTAAAAATAAAAAACAAAATGAAAGCCATAATTTTGGAAGACTGAGGTTTTTTATTAATTAATTAATTTCTTATATAAAATATAACTTAACTTAAATGGGGTCTGAAAATATATGTATGGAATGTCTGGACTTATAAATCGATTTTTTTTAAATAAATTGTTGAAAGTAAAATCGACATATTTAGCTTAGTAATCTTTTGGGAATTTTTAAATGAAATTTTTAGGTCCTTTTCATTAATACATTTTTTAAAATTTTTGACGACGTAAATTAGAGCTAACAACTAATACATATATGGTTGTTTTTTTAGATTTTATTTATATTATATTATGGAAAATCTGGACTTTTAGCTTAAGAAGCCCCACTGCAACCTAAATGCCTGCCTAAGCCACTGGACATAACAGGCAGCAGTTGGGGGCTGGTTGGCAGAGTTTAAGGCGTGGTTGGCGTCCACTTTTGCATACCACAGCAATGGCGTGTGAGCAAGAACAACAATACCAACAATAAGAGCAAAAAAAAAGGAAGTAAATAGTGGAAAAGGCATAAATAATAGCAAATAATACGGCGACAATGCGCACAAATTTGCCGCTAAAGTGTAGTCATTGTCGGTCTCGGCCTGTGTGCGTGAGAGAGCCAAAAAGAAGGCGGCAACAGCGCGGGTAGACTTAGGTGGGCCTGGTCACACTCGAGTTGCCATTTTGCATGAATTCGCTATTTAAATTTATTATACATTAGATTTATGTGCGCGTTGAGTTGCCCCTACCATGCATATATGACGACGCCTACGACTCTTAACACTTATCATTGGCCTTTTGTGGTCGCTCTTGTGGCTTTAATTTCACTGTGTTTGGAGTGAGTTACATTGGGGAATTACCCCAACTGAAACCTAGAGCTGGGTGTGTTTTAAGTGATTTCTTACACTTGGCTGAGCCACTGGGCATGCACAATTATTATTATGAAGCCAATCGGTGGTATGGTGGCTCGTGTGTTTGTGTGTGTGTGTGTGCCACTTCTGTCACATGACTTGCGGTTGAATATTATTATTTGCTTCTTTTTTAAATAATAATATGTTTTCTAGCCTTGCGTGGCTCACAACTGGTTGGTTGCAAGAGGTGCTTATGTGAAGTGTGACAGAATTCAAAGTTGAAACGGAAACGGAAACGTGCACGCCTGTCCCACAACACGCAGTCCTTGGTTTGTATAACGAATTGCGCTGCTTCGATAGCAAATATATGATTATCGCTAATCCAACATCGGTTATATGAAAAATAAATATTGCTTTAATATTTACATTTTCCAATTAGATGGCATGCAAGCAGAAGAGTTGCCATATGAAAGCCTATCAAAAATCGTTTGAATGAAGTTATGGAAGAAAGAGTTTGGAATAAGTCCGCCTTTTTAAAAGCTCAAGAAGAAAGTTCTAAGCCAGCCAGCCTGTGCCGGTATTTAATGCTTTGGGGAACCAATTTTGATAATTAAAATGATAATTATATTCCCAGTTCCTGGCAGTATTAAAAAATTTGTAGAATTTTCAAGCAAATAATAAATAAGTTTTTTGGAAAATGTGTTGTATTTGAAAAATTTGTTGTACATTTTGTCGAGGCGAAAAACTTCATTTGCCTCACAATTTTTCATTTTTAATATTGTTCAGTTGCTGGACGGCAGCACTGTGTTGTTTTTTTTTCCTCAGTTTTCTAAATAATTTTGAATTTTCTTATATTTTTTTATACTTTTATATAAATTGAAAGTGGAAATTACATCAAGCCTATTTTATGCAAGGTAAATCACTATAAGGGATGGTTATATGTCTTATTTACGTGTCATTTAATTTGATACAAAATTTGCGAGCTATACATTTTAAAATATAATAACAAAAACCAATCCAAGCTAAAACCAATGTACTCTTCATAGTCTTATAGACGATATTTATTTGAAACATTTAAAATGAAATCAATTGTGGGCTATGTGCCCAAAATGGATACTGGCGAGGCTTTGCCGGCCTGGATGAAATTTGACTGGAATTCAAAAGTTCAGCATGATATCTATAGAGACTGGGGCACATATTACTCCAATCGGCGGCGAGAAACTTATGCCTTGTACTACTTAACACAGGCATTAAGCCTGGATGAACATGATTGGTCCACACTTTACAGACGCAGCTTGACCCTTGGCAAGGCAGCGCAGATCGAGGAAGCACTAGCGGATGCTATAAAAGCGGCTGGTAAATCTATAAGCAAATAAATTGTTTAATAAATCTCAATCTAGCCCATGTTCAAATAGACATTGCTATGCAGAAAAAAGGACCCAATTGCCCCATTAATCTACAAATATGCGATGCGCTATTTGAGCTTAACCGTTTCGAGAAATGTCATGTTGAGCTACACAACAATATAAGACGTTTTATGGGTGTTAAGACGCAAACTTTTGAAAAGCGTCGCGTAGTGGTGAGTTCTAGATTAGTTGAAGAGTTATAGAACTATTTTCAACAAAGTACTTTGTCCCAGGTTGAAGAGATCATAAAAGATGTCAAAGATAAGGCCCTGTCTTTATTTTATCTGAAAAACTTTAGGCTGGTGGAACGCGTCAGTGCCACTATCAAAGCAAAAGAAATGTTAGATCATCGTCCCTTGTGGAAGATATTGAAAGAGCTCGATAAGTGCGATATATTGAGCATTCCTGAAGAAGAAGTGAGTGTTGATTAGGATTGGGTATTCAATTTTCTCTAAATAATATATCTGAACAGGAAGAGATTTTATCTCCACTGGAAATAGCACGCAGAAAGCGTGCCTTTAATGTGATACATCAGACCTATCTGAATGACTCGTGGTATGATGTGCTATTCATGAAAAACTTGCGCAAGAATCCCAATTTGCTGCTAGATCAGTGCAAGAATTCCAGACCCTTTCTGGAAACACTGTCTAATAAGCAATATGATATTGTTCGGCGTTTTATGGTTAGTATCGAGTCAATAATCCAACATAAACTGAGCTAATTTAAAATGCATTTATTGATAGAAAATGATTCATTGCCGCACTCCGCTTTACTTGATAAGCTTCTTGAAGTACTCAAATAAGAAAATGTTGGAAAGGAATAAGGAAGCGTATCTATACCGCATACAATACCAGACACATCGCAATATGATTGCTGATCTAAGACAGATTCGTAAGCTGCGAAAGGAAAAGGATGTCAAGGTATTAAACAAAACTATTATTTTCTCTACACCTCTACTTGAATATTTTGTTAGCGTCTCGCAATATACGTTGAGAAAATAATGGGTGATTATTATGTGACGAAAACAAATCGAGTCATGTGTTGGAGATTTGAATTCTTCAATGAGGTCTATAACACCATGGCTCTGACACTTGCCGAGCAATATTTTTTGCCCAAGTATTTCAGGGCCGAAAAACATTCATTTAGGGAAGTGTTACAGCTGCCCTTGGATAAATTCAAAGATAACCCGCCATTTGTATTTGGGGATCGTTCGACGCATCAAGATGGTGACCTTGTGGATCCCGTAGCGGTGAGAGAAAGGTAATTGTAATAAATTGAACCTCTAATGGACAAATTTAAAACTAAATTATGCACTGCATTTAGGAAGCTAATTATACGCCTCGAAAAACGCATTCGATTTGCAAAATATTCGATCGAAAAATGTTACCTATACCATCGCATAGCCAGCGTTCACTTGAGCCAGTTACACTACGACGAATGTTGTTTGAATGCGCGCAGAGCTATCAAAGGTGAAAAAATAATAATGATCAAAATCATTTTTGTCTAATACAAATTTTCAACTTGGCTTTTAGAATGTCAAAACTGCAACAGCCTTATCTGGAAGTTCCTGAGTGTTTTGCAATTAATCATGGCGAATGCACTGCAGCACAAAGTGGAAAAGATTAAAGAGGCTGTCGATGAGGCATTGCCAATTGCCCTGCAGCTAAAGTCGCCGGAGCTAGTTAACTTTGTGGATGTCTGTTTCTACTATACTGAGGAGCAGGTGGCCAAGAAGGCCAACTCCATTCAAAGTCAGAGAGCCAGCAAGGCATCCACTTTATCTACGTTATAAATTTAATTAATTAATAAAATAATATTATCGACACAGTTACGAGTTTTTCAGTAAAGGGTTCCCGGCCAGTTGCAAATATTCCGGCTTCCTTCTATATATAAATATAAACATAAATACAAACACAAACCCAGGATCCCAGTCCGTTTACTAAGCTTTTTAAGCAACAACTACGCTACTTCCCTTAGCTGTTGTGAAATTTTCAAGACTAAGACATGACAAGTCAAATGACATGACCAAAAAAGTGAAATATTGTTGATCTCCGTATGGCAAATGAGGGACGGCTTACTTATTAAGTCTGCGGTATCCAGCTCTTAAAATCTTCGAGCTATGCCCAATTCCCAAAATCGATTGTTATGGGAGAAGTGTGAACGCAATTTGACCTTTAGCCTGTGTGACAAGCCAATTGTGCGATGCTTAGAACTTTCAAAAAAATGATTGTCGCATTTTTAACAAATTTATTTTAAAACAAGAAAGAACGACTATTATCGGCACGCCGAAGATCTAATACCCTTGCAGACCCAACCTTTTCATAATGCTCATAGTGCTTTGCCCGTATCTAAGAAGTACAGGGAAACTAGTAAATGCTGAGTTTGGATAAGATATCTTGGTGACCAAAACAGGTTTTTAATCAAAAACCTGGCTTTCGACCGATCGTACCTATGGCAGCTATATGATATAGTGGTCCGATCTTAATAGGATTTTGCATATATATGAGGAGCATAGTAAAACTAATAAATGCCGAGCTTGGTCGAGATATCTTGCAAAACAAAATGTTTTTTCAAACAACTTAATTTTCGACCGATCGTTCCGATCGAAGCTATATAATATAGTCCGATTTGGCTGGTTATGAGATATTTGCTGCATGCAACAGTAATAGGGACTTCTGCAAAGTTTCATAAAGATAGCTTTAAAACTGAGAGACCAGTTCGCATAGAAACACACAGTCGGACAGACGGAGATGGCTATATCGACTCGTTACATACATTTACACAAATACATAGTAAACGTTTTACCCATTTTCAATAAGTTCAGGGTATAAGAAAATAAAATGTTTCATCTAGAATGCTTTGTAATACTTGTCGTAAGTTATGTTTACCAAACAAATGATGGAAAAATACAAAAGCATATTAAACTTAGGGGAGCAGAACCTGTATAAAAATGTCAAAATCATAGAAGTCTTTAAAAAAACCATAAAATATTTAAAACAAATACATATACGGAAAGAAAACAAATAAAAGTCTTAAGAAAATCCATAAAATATTTAAAACAAATAAATATACGGAAAGAAAACAAATAAAAGTCTAAAAAAAATCCATAAAATATTTACAACAAATAAATAAACGGAAAAAAAAACAAATAAAAGTCTAAAAAAAATCCATAAAATATTTACAACAAATAAATAAACGGAAAGAAACCAAATAAAAGTCTAAAAAAAATCCATAAAATCTTTAAAACAAATCAATAAACGGAAAGAAAACAAATAAAAGTCTAAAAAAATCCATAAAATCTTTAAAACAAATAAATAAACGGAAAGAAAACAAAAAAAAGTCTTAAAAAAATCAATAAAATCTTTAAAACAAATAAATAAACGGAAAGAACACAAATACAATGGCTTCAATTAATTTGACCCCCGTACCGCAGGCATCTGGCATTGCAGAAGCTGTACCTGTGTGGCTGAAAATGGACTGGAGTCCAGATATACAACACAATATCTTCAGAGACTGGGGCGCATACTACTTCAGTCGACGCAGAGAGAATACGGCAATATATTACTATAACAAGGCAATGGAACTTGTAAACGAGGATTATATAACGCTCTTTCGACGAAGTCAAGCTCGGCGCCAGGCAGCACAGATTAATGGAGCATTGAGCGATGCCAGACTGGCTTCAAGTAGGTCGTAATATTTATTTATGGTCAAAACTTTCTGTATGTCTGCATATTCCTAGCAATGGCCAACGTAAAAATGGGACCAAATGCGCCCATTAGGCTACAAATATGCGATGCTCTACTTGATCTGAACAATTTTGAACTCAGCGATATGAAATTGCATGACAATGCACGACAGTTTGTTGGCGCCAAGTCGAGTCTTTTCCATAAGCGTCTCTTGGTGGTATGGAACAACATAATGGAAGACATCGGAACTATTAAAAGGTTTTCAATATTTTTTTTTTTAGGTTGAAGCTATTATTAAGGATGTCACTGGGCGCGCCATGTCTCTGTTCTTCTTAAAAAACCACAAGCTGGTTCAACAGGCGTGCGATTTGTACAAAGCTTCTCTTATTAAAGATACGCGTCCCATGTGGAAGATATTGCGGGACCAGCAAAAATGCGATATACTTAGCATACCAGAAATTAAGGTAAATAACTTTTAAATTGACCCCAACCGGAACTACAACTACTGTCATTAGGAAGTGCTTTTGTCACCACTGGAAAAAGCGCGCCGAAGACGCGCATTTAATGTTATTCATCAGACCTATTTAAATGACTCCTGGGTTGATGTTCTTTTTATGAAAGAGTTACGTAACAATCCCAATTTGCTGCTAGATCAATGCAAGCGTTCCAAGAGATTGCTTCAGATACTGTCCGTTGAGAAATATGATGTTGTCAGACAGTTTATAGTGAGTTACAATCAGAAGCTCCTGAAAACCTTAACTATAAAAACCATTTGTTGATAGAAAATGATGTATTCCCGTAGTCCTTTTTACTATGTGAATTACGTAAAGTTTACAAACAAGAAAATTTTGGAGAAGAATAAGGAGGCGTATCTTTTCCGAATACAATACCAGACACATCGCAACATGATTGCAGATCTAAAAGAGATTCGAAAGCTGCGAAAGGAAAAGGACGTCAAGGTATTAAAAAACAATTCTATTTATTTTTTAATGCTTAATTATTTGCGTGGTTTAGAGTCTCACGGAGTATGTTGAGAAAATTATGGGCGATTATTATGTGACCAAAACGAATCGTGTCATGTGCTGGAAATTTGAATTCTTCAATGAGGTATACAATAATTTAGCTCTGGCTTTATGTGAACAGTATCGTGTGCCAAAAAATTTTCGATATAATTCCACATCAATGTATCGACTGTTGCATTTGCCGCTGGATAAAGCCAAAGAACCTGTACCATTTGTTTTTGGAGACCGTTCGACATATCAAGATGGTAGTTTCAATGATCCCACAGCGCTTAGCTCAAGGTAAGTGCGAAAACTAGCTCGAAATATACTTAAGATTAATTAATTGTTTAAAAGGAAGCTGATTACGCGCCTGGAAAAGCGCATACGATTTGCAAAATATTCGATTGAGAAATGTTATCTACTCCATCAGATTGCAAGCATTCATTTGTCCCAGGGACGATATGATGAATCCTGTTTAAATGCTCGCAAGGCTATCAAAGGTCGGCTATAAGCACTGCAGCTATGCAACTCTATTAAACTTATTATTTATATATTTGTCCTCATTATGTTTAGAAACTCACAACTGCAACAGCTTGATATGGAAGTTCCTCAGCGTTATGCAAAAGGTGAAGGCATATTGCATGCAGAAGAAAGTGGAAAAAACTAAGGACTCCTTGGAGAAGGCTATACCTTTAGGCGATACACTGAAGAATCCACCGCTGGCCAATTTTTTGGAGGTCTGCTTGGCCTGCAGTTTGGAGGATACTGCAATTAAGGCAAGCTTAATGCCATCTCAACGCCCGAGCGCGATGTCAACCTTAACCTCAAACTAATTTATATGTTTGCACAATTTTCGATATTTATATATGAAGTCGTACATTTCACTTATGTTATAACCTTTACACAATGTGATTTCCATTTCGGAATGCTGCACAACCGAAGTAAAACATACATAAATATATGTTCTCTAACAAGCTAGAAAACTTGACACATATTTATTTGTTAGACTGTACAGATTGATTTGAGACTCTGTTGTGCCCTGGTTTATATAGGCATAGATCGAACTTCTTTTTTTTGAAGATAATCGAACTCGTAAGTTGCGTTAACTAGAAAGAAATTTTAATCTCTTATGTGCAAACTATTATTAATACTGGACTATTGCGCCATTTATCTATATCATTAACGACCAGGAATAATCGGCCAGATATGAACGTTTTTCTATGAATATAACGTAATGTGGCCAATTTAATAACTATAGTACAATTCTTATAGATTTCTGCATGCAACTTTGCTTGGCTCATTAAAAACATTTACTTTTTCGGATAAGAAAAAATAAATATTGATATTTTTAAAAATTTTAATAAAGCTTATAGCTATCAACTCTTGATGGCTTCGTTAAGATACGCATTACTTTTTGTTTGAGTGACAGAAATATACAAAAAATATTTCCAATCTAGAAGTCTTTGATCTTGTATATATATATTTCCTGGTACTGGCTTTATGTTCAACGATTCAGTAGCATTACACAAACAGAGGGAAACAGTTCACAAAAACACAAAATATTACATTTTTATACATTATTTCGCTGCTTTATACTTTTATAAGGTCTCAGTACATCTAAGATTCACTTGCAATAATGACTTCGATTGTGGGTTATGTGCCGCCCGCGACTCTGGAGGGCGTAGTCGCCATTTGGAATAAATTTGACTGGAGTCCGGAAATAGAACATGATATCTATAGAGACTGGGGCACATACTATTTCAATCGTCGCAGAGAGAACTTCGCCTTATACTATTATACCAAGGCATTGGATATTGATAGATCCGATTATCTAACACTCTATCGACGCAGTCAGGTGCAGCGCAAGGCGGCACGCATTGAACAGGCACTGAATGATGCCCGAGCTGCTGCAAGTGAGTTAGAAAATTGAATATCTACAGAGTACTTAATTTTTGGATTGCATAGAGATTGGCTCGGCGCAGCGCGGTCCAATTTGTCCCATCAATTTGCAAATATGCGATGCGCTCTTTGAACTCAACCAGTTCGAGACCAGCGCCTGTGAACTGCACGACAATATTCGAAGTTTTATGGGTGTCAAGTCCAGAAACTTTTCCAAGCGACTCATGGTGGTAAGTTGTCCTAATTGCAGGAATATACATACATGTGTATACATACATCCACTATATATACAGTCGTCTAACCCACATAGGTGAATGATGTCATCAAAGATGTTACTGACAAATCAATGTCGCTGTTCTTTTTAAAAAATCTCAAACTAATACAACGCGTCAGCGAGATCAACAAAGCGAAGGGTTTTGTAGACACGCGTCCCTTGTGGAAGATATTGAGGGATCAGGAGAAATGCGATGTGCTAAGCATACCCGAAACGGTGGTACGTATTGGGAACTTTTGTTTTCCTACATAGACAGCATTGAACAGCTCCCGCTTTAGGAAGAGGTCCTGTCGCCACTGGAAATAGCTCGCAGAGCTCGTGCTTTTAATGTTATACACCAAAACTATCTGAATGATTCTTGGTATGATGTGCTATTCATGAAGAATCTACGCAAGAACCCCAGTTTGCTGCTGGATCAATGCAAGCGTTCAAAAAGCTTTTTGCAAACGCTCGCCTTTAAACAGTACGAGATTATTAGACAGTTTATTGTCAGTATCAGTTAGGAAGCTACTATATCATACCATATTAATCGACAACTATTTCCGTACAGAAAATGTTACAAAGTCGCAGTCCCCAGTATTATGTTAGCTACCTAAAGTATCCCAACAAGAAAATGCTGGAGAAAAATCGAGAAGCATATCTATTCCGCATACAATACCAGACACATCGCAATATGATTGCAGATCTGAGACATATACGAAAGCTGCGAAAGGCCAAGGATGTCAAGGTATGTCAACAATATATAATTGGAGTGCCGAAGATTCAATACCCTTGCACACATATGGAATTTGTATGGTATATAAAGTGTGAGGTGGAATAACATTATATAGGCAGAGTAGAGCTCATGCCGAGTTTGGATAGGGTATCTTAATTTCCACGAGTTATGCTTAAAATGCCAAAATCGATACTTATCGATATTAAGGCCATTTGAGCTTAGGCGGTGTATTTCTATATCGAATTTATAGATTTATGGAATGGAGGCAGGTTTAACTCATAATTTAATTTGAAATTAAGAAGTCTCGAAATCCGCTATCGCTTACAAATACTCTATAATTTAAATTTTCTATCTATCATATGGATATCCTTATAGAGCCTCTCCGCGTATGTCGAGAAAGTGATGGGAGATTATTATGTGACCAAAACGAATCGTGTCATGTGCTGGAAATTTGAGTTCACAAATGAGGTATACAATACCTTGGCCCTGGCTCTTTGCGAACAGTATTCCATCCCGAAGCGCTTTAAAATGTCATCAAGGCCCATTTTTCAGCTGTTGATGTTGCCATTGGATAAGATAAAAGATATTGCACCCTTTGTATTCGGCGATCGTTCAACTTACCAAGAAGGCGATGACGATACCGAAGGAAGGAAATTCCGGTATAAAGCAAAAGATCGATTAATTAACAAAAAAAAAATAAATGATCTATGATTAATTTAGGAGAATGGTTTCCCGCCTGGAGAAACGCATAAGATTTGCAAAGTTCTCAATCGAGAAGTGTTATCTACTCCATCAAATAGCCGCCGCCCATTTGGCCCAGCTGCATTACGATGAATGCTGTTTTAATGCGCGCAAAGCTATGAAAGGTGCGATTAAATATGATATATATATATATATATATATATAGAATATAGAATATATATATAGAATATATATATATATATATATATATATATATATATATATTATATACATTATATATATTATATATATGTATGTATCTAAAAAGTAATATTTCGATTTCTAACGCATTTAGAAAGTCAGAACTGCAACAGCGCAATATGGAAGTTTCTCGGGATAATACAAATAATCAAGGCAAACACTATGCAGCATAAGGTGGAGCGCACCAAAGAGGCTTTGGAGGAGGCAGTGCCAATTGTCAAACAGCTCGATTCCCCAAATCTTATCAAGTTTATAAATACCTGTCTATCTTCTGCAGAGGACGAGTATTCCAGAAAAATCAGCTCAATAGCTAGTCAACGGGCCAGCAAGGCTTCGACGACGTATTCGGCACAGGGTGTTGACTCTGGACTAAATGAAAGTACGCATGTTTTGGATACGCTTCAATAGAAGATGTACTCACGACTTAATTGAAATGTGAATGTGTAAAAAAAAGATTAAATAAACTTTTGCCCATAACAAAAATGAAAGAGCCAAAATTATGCAAAGCAGTTAGTAACGTGTTTTTACAATGCTCTATTAAAAAAACGGATGGCAGAGCTTTTGACACCTGCAAGTTTTTAGGACATTTGCAAATACCTGCAGCATTTAGCATTTAGTCTTCCCATGTGCGGATAAGGGAAATCTATTTGACAATTTTGCATAGCTTTATACAATAGCCTGATTCTAGCGGCGAATTTTTTATATTTGCAACAGTGAAACGGGTATTTTAAGAATCCTATTCGATAATTTAACATACAGCACTGATATGCCCGATTGGACTATGTTTATGCAGGAGTAGTATTTAAGAAGTCACCTCATCAAGGTCAATCGGGGGAGCATTGTGGACAAAATGTGTTTCCATTTGTAGCTGTTTTACCGCTAAACAGATTTAGTTTATAGCAGCGCTATCTTTGTGGCCGCCCATTAACTGGTCTCTCGTGTGATAGCAGCTTTTATTTTAGCCTACATTTAAACGAACACACAGACACACACACACGTGTGCATTTGAGGGGAAAAATATATACCTGGAAAAGCGGCGTCGTAAAAATTCTATCAACTCGATTAAATTATAACAAGTGGATTTTCATGTTTTTGTGTCGCATTTATGGGTTTTTATTGTGCTAATTTTATGCGCAAGCCAAAGAAGGCAGCGCGACTGAAGCGAGTTCCTTAAGAATATGCGACACAGTCACACACACACACACACACACACAGACACACGCACACTCACATACAGGCACACACACATACACACACAGCTAGATAGGCACCTGCAATAATACTTGGCACACATTTAGTGGCAGCATTTAGTGGCACATTGCGGTTCCAACGATGGCGCTGAAGTTCATCCTTGGGACATTGCCACGTTGCTGTTGTCGCAGTTGTTCTGTATTTTTTAGGCGCCTGTTTTGTGTGTGTATGTGGGTGTGCGTGTGTGTGGCGCCACACTTGGCAAAGTTTTTGGCCTACCTGCCGCTAACCGCTCACCTGTTAGCCAAACCGCCCATACTCGTGTGCTGCTGCCGTCGCCTTTTGTCTTATCAGACTTTTGGCGCGCATGTGTTTATGCCACAAATGGCACTTTTGCGGCAGCGCATTTTATTTTTTTACTGCCACTTTTCGCCATTTTGGTTTATCATTTTTGTATGTTTTGTTTCTAGTTAGTTGGGCGTGGCCCTGGCCCGCGCCATATTATAAATAAGTGTATTACAGTCAGCGAAATGCGTGCCATACAATGCCCTTCCGGGGTGCGATGCTTGAGGCAATGCGAGAGTGAAATCTGCATGGAAATTGATTTTGTTTTTTGTCTTTCAGAATCGTTTCGCAGAGGTTCTAAGAATTAATAAAATTAATATTTAAGAAATGGACCTACAAAAATATTTTTACGAATATCGAAAAAAATAAAAGCTTGATTATACATATTTATTTATATTATTATATATTAGTATTATATTTATTTTGTATTATATTCTGTTGATTATGTAGACCAGTTATTAAGCATTTTTATCAGACCTGGACATATTTTAAACATTTGAAAGCCTCGAATAATAGGAATTGGAGAAATATAAGCGGACTTCAGGTTCTGAGCTGACTTTCACAGATTTCGTAGCTTTTGATTGGAAAATTTAATTTATTTATTTATATTTATACCTAATATTACATACAAAAATCTATACATATATTTATTATATATTCCTCAAAATATAAGTCTGCCCTGTTCGACTTTCCCGGCAAGCGCTGCTGCAAGTCTCATATTTTCCTGCTAACCAAAATTTCCGATTTGAATCCTTTTAGCTACTTTAACATCTCCTTTAGTGCCTGACATTTCACTGTGTTTGTGTGTGTGTTAAACTAATAAGCTCCATCGAGCTGCTGTCAGTTCGAGGTAGAGCCGTAAACATTTAAATGACCGTCGAGTTGGATTTTATTGTCCAGTCGGGGCTCTGCCTAGTGGGAGCGAAAGGTGTGCAAGCAACTAATGACCCTGTATTTATATGACAGGCAAAAGTTTATAAATATTTATGGGATTTACTGTTGTTGTTGTTGTTGTTGTTGTTGCCGTTGTTGTTGCTGTCGATGTTGCTTACTTCTGGCGCAAGCTCATTTGCTTATTTTAAAATTCCGAGCAGGCGTTGTTTCATTTTTGACACCCGACAGCAAACCCGGCCAGGCCCCAAATGCTCCCCAGTTCTCCGAAGCCCGGCAAGTTCGAAGTCTCAGTCCTGTCATCGCACGTTGTTGCCATTGTCACGCACACACGTACTATATTTTTTACGCGCATATCATGCCATACACACACACACACACACACACACAAGCACACACACAATTTGATGCAGCCACAACATCAACGTTGACGCAAAGCACCCCTTTTATTTGAGAGGGCGGGAAGTTTTTTTTTCTTCCGAGGGTTTTGCTGCTGCTGCTGCTCAAGTAAATAGAATCACGTACACTAATTATCATCACCATTGCGCGCTCAAAAATATATTTTTATTAATTTAATTTCCCCCACCAACTGCCCTCTTCCCCCACCTTACTACCCCTAGTTGTGTGTAAAATTTTTAATTGAGATCTGGCATTGCGATAGAACTCTTCTCCTTACTAGCTGAATAAATTGAATGCTGTGCTCCATTCTGCATGTAAATTGCGTACTTCTGGGTAGTTTTCGATAGCTGCTTGATAATCAGTTTAGATAAGATATAATATAATTAGCCGTTATATGTTCCATTTGGGCGACACACATTGCTGCCATAGATAGTCTTAAATGTGAGTCACTCGATGAGATATATTTGTATATTGCATTATTACAGATTAACTTGCTTAGAGCGGGAATTAGCTGTAGGAAATGTTTTGTGCATTTTGGCTAGTTTTGAATGCATGTAGAATTAAGATAGCTACACATTTTTATATATATTTATAGTTTAATCTAGCCCTACTGCTGTCCGCGCAGCTATTAGCAGTTGATGCGAACGTGGTTACATATAATTGGATATACATATACTTTAATACAGGCTTGCTACAGCACATATTTGTTTAAGGTTCTTGTTCTCCTTAAATAGAGTAAAAAGTTTAACCACCAAAAAGTGTTTAAAATTGACTTCACAGATGCGTTAGGCCACTCGACACAATTGCTACCTCATTCTAAAAAGAAAAACACACGCAAAGGCTGTCAAAAAACTTATATGATAAGAGTTCCATTGTATGCTCTGACTCATAACATGACCCTCTATAGGCCCTGCACTTATAGGCCATTTAGTAGAGTTGATTAGAACTTTTACGGCTGTAATCCATCAAGTACTTGGCCCGCCTCCCGGCTCAACCTTAAAGACTTAAGGTTAGAGACTTCGCCGGATTCATCCCATCGATCTGGCCAGTTGTGTATTATGATTATGATTATGTAAGTATATCAATATAATCTTTTAAAAAAAATAAAATTATTGCACAGCTTGTTTAAGATACTAAAGCATAAACTCAATAAATATGTTTAAAAAATTGAAAAAATTTATTGAATATATCTGCAAAGAAATAAATGAAAGCAAAGTTGTTTTAATGTTGACATTTTTGATATTAAGAAACTAAGCCCCGATAAAAAATAAAAACAAAAATAATCTTTTATCTATTATTAAATTATCTATAAAATATATAGAAAGAAAACGCAAAAAAAAAAATATAAAAAAAAAAACAAAGCCAATTAAATACTTAATAAACTAAAGATAAATAAAATAAAAATAAATAAATAAATTACAAAAATAAGAAAGAAAAATATGTTAAATATGAAAACAAAATAAACAAATAATATAAAAAATAAAAACAAAGATAATATAAAATTAAAAACATAAATACAATATCTAAAAAATTTTTAAATTTTAATAGTTAAATTATTAATTAAATTTTAAAAAGGGAAAGATGTTATATATTAAAACAAAATATATTAATAAAAAACAAAATAAACAACAACAAATAAATAACATAGAAGCAAAGCTGATATTAAATTAAAAACCTAAACACAATATCTAATAAGTTTAATAAATAGTAATAAACGTCTGTTTGAAGCACTTTGATCGCGAACTATAAAATATATATAAATTATTTAGCTAACATAGACATAATCTTAACCCATTAGCTGCATCCAAATTTGGTTTTACAAGGCTTTTAGGACACAAAAGACATCAGAGCCACTTTGGCCGTTCACTGGAATTAGTTCTTTTAACTCGGCCCTATTTTTAAAAAAAACTACGTATGTATGTGCGACCTTTTTTTATAAGAAATATTAATACAGTTGGTGCAGATAACACGGCTCACTTGTCCACCCGCAGCGATAAGAGCGTAATACTGTTTTATCTACTGATAAGGCTCTAAAGGTGTACAACACTCACATGAACAGACAAAAAAAAAAAAAAACTACCGAGATTGGCAAGAGTAAAAGCTATAATAGAGCGATCTGGCATTACATGTAGTATAGAACGGTCCGTGCAACGTGCAGCAACGTCCGTCCACTCGATCGGGACTTGTGTAAAATAACAAATATAAACATATACACATAGTTCACAAATGGATCATCGCACACGTGTTGAGGTGATAAATGTGCCGCCACCAGCGGGTCCCACAACGGTCATTGTGCAGCAGCCGCCGCCCAAGGATAAGGGCTGTTGCTGTTGCCCCTGCTTGCCCTGTTGCTGTGGCTGTGGCGATTGTTGTTGCTGTTGCACGATAATGTAGGGCAACATTTGACAAGAATAACAACAAGAAGACGAAAAGGAACGAGAAGAGTAGCAACAATGAGAACTTCAAACAAAGGCGCTGCAAATCCTTTAATGCTTTACGTTAAATTAAGTTTCTATGGCTTTGTCGGGCTTGTGAAACACACACTCACACACACACACTAGACCAACACACAAACACAAACCAAACACACACATACTTTTTTCGTGCAATAAAATTTTACGATTTGTTATAAATAATGTTTTTGGTACACGAACTGTGGTTGAGCTCGGGCAACATATTGTCTTGCATAAATCTCAATGTTTTTGGCCGGCTCCAATAAAAAGCCAAATTTAATAACACCCACACACACCCACACACACACACACACACACACACACACACACACATGCGCACGCACGCCCACACAAACCGCAAAAATTTGTAGTTTTATGGCAGCCCTTTTGGCATAGCCAACCACTTGCCCAAAAACTTAGCTCACATTCCAAGTTATTATTTATATGTTTTTCAATTTGCCAATAAAACCGAAAATGTGTCAAAAAGTGCCGCCTGCTGCCATTTGATAAAACATTTTATGTGACTTTTGAGGTCTTTTCGCATTGCAACCGCAGAGCCAAAAGTTGCTTTTTTTGTTTTGGCCAAACAGCGGCTTTGACATGGGTTTCGCTATATTCGGGGCGGTTGGTGTGTTTGGGTAACCCATTCAGCGTAATTTGTGTGTACTTTTCTTTTGCTTGCTGTTTATCTAAAGCCCAAACCATATTACTCATACGCACTGTTGCACGCGAGGCGCCGCACAGTGGTAAATAGGGCGACGAAAAGTGTTTGAGAAATGCTTAAATTGTAAAACGCGTAAAATCTTAAATTGTTTCCTTTCCTTTTTTGGTAACTTTTATGAATGGTTTTCAGTTTGGTGCAACAGTATGATATATAAGATGTGCAATAGAATATTTATAAGATTTAGCTATTTTTATGGACAGGCACTTACCCTCTCTGCAATTGATAGCCTGGCTTTTAGCAGTCCTGGCTGTCATTTTTCTGCAAGAAATAATTAAATCATTAATTTCATATATTTTATATTTTATATTTATACATTTATGTTTTAAAAGTATTGTCAACAGTAGAGCTTGTAAAGTTTAATACATTTCCAGCAGACTCTTAAAAGCCCTAAAACCATTTTACAGCTGTTAACCATAATCAGAAGTGGGCCAAACTGAACCGAATATTAACAAACTTGGCTTAAGACGAAGCACAGCTTTAATAAACTTAATACATCCTTATTTATGCTCGATAACCGGGGTTTACATATATTATGTTTAATATATAAGCCTTATATTTTCTACATATAAATGAACTATAAATAAATCACAGTGAATCATAATTCGTTGAAATTCTTCCACTGTGCCCTGGGTACTCTACATTGGTTGACACTTACACAAAACTGTTTTATTATCTGAGCTCATTGATCAAATGCGGGAGCTTTAGATAAAAAAACAAAAAATTGGGTAGCCTGAGTTTACCTGGAACAACCTTTCAGCCAACCGGAATTTTAGTTGAAACGAGTTATTGCGCCGCGCAGCATAACATACATTAGTTATTGAATTTAGTTAGTCACACTCCGATATTAAACGCAAGGATCATGTACAATCCGGGATATCAAGTGGATGTCATCGATCCGTACTATCCACCGCCGGTGGAGGTTATTGAAGTAGTACGCCAACCGGCCTATCCACAGCCCGCCGTTGTCGTCGCCCAGCCTCAAACAATCTACGTGGAGGAAAATAATGGTCCTACGAGAGAACAAATGGATTGCTGCCTTATGCTGGGCGCCTGCTGTGTCATGGAAGAGTGCGGCCTGTGCGTTATATCATAATCAAGAGTTATGCTTGTTTAGAAAACATGTGCAGCAATTAAGTGTGTTTAAGAAATTCTTATTTAAATAAATATAGTTGAAAATTTAAGTGCTGGATTATGCCATTAATAAGCCCATATGTTATTTCTCAAGTGCAATTCCTGGATACAACTTATATTAATTTCTTTAAATCTTGAGCAAATAATATGAAGAACTAACAAACTTTAATATAAGTAAATTAAACATTTTTCAAAATTGGAATAAATTTACATATAATATTAATTGAAAAGTTATTTGTTGAGTAAAAACTCGGCTATAAATTATTTATAACTATCTTTTATCTTGGCCTTTTTCTGACATTTTTGATGGTCTCTGTTTTTACAATCCAGAATTGAATCATCCTGCATGCTTAATATTAGAAAAAGGATAGTTCTTCCCGCTCCCTTAAAAATAACCTTATAATTTATCAAGCTTCAATATCCAGCCCGTCGAGTGCTTCACAGTTCTGACTCAACCCAAGCATTGGCATATTTTTATATCCAACGAGTATAGTTCTTCTCAATACTTTATTTTCGACTTGCCTGATTTCTATCTACGTAGAGCTCGAGTCGTTAGTCTTTCAATTAGGCAGATGCGCATTTGAAATTTGTTTAAGTGCCTGTCACTGGCTCTCAGCCATATCATTTTGCGGCTAGAGCATTAAAGCCAACGCCCAAGTATGGCAAGTTATGACAATAATTAAAGCCAAGTCGTGTACAGTCTTAGCCAGAGTGCGACATTATGTCTTTTCTCTCCGCTGCTCTTTCGGTTCTTTTTTTGGGGGGCTGTGTAAAATGTTATTTGAAAATTTGGTGCGTTCGTCTTCGACATGGCCGCAAGAACAGGGCGTTGGTAATAAGAACGAGCAGCTAAAACCAGAAGCACATCCAGGACAACTTGAACAGCTTGGCTAACAACGGAAACAGGCCAACAGCAACAGCAACAGCAGCAACAACAACAACCACAACAGCCGGGTGCTATATGCCTTTTTAACTTGATTTAATGAGTGCAGGGAAAAACATCAACAAGAAAAATGAAATAACTGTCATTGAAGACATGAAAAAAGGGGGCGGCAATGGGTGCGGGCCGGCACGCTGCCATTGACGGTTGACTGTCTTTGAGCCAAGTCAAGAGGTGGGTGGAGAGTGCGCGCGGGGCAGGAGGCTGCGCTACTTAACTAGGAGCAAACGAGCTGCCAGACACGAAGGGTCTACGTGGAGCGGTTGGGTGTGGCACGGCGCAATTATGCAGCAAATTAACGCTTTATATTTATTAAAAGCCAGCTAACTGGAAAGGGCTTTTGTTGTTGTTGTTTGTATTTCTTTCCTTTGTTTTTTTTTTTCTTTTCGTTTTTTCGGTTTTGCCTTCGTAGTGCCAGAAAATAAAGAAAAAGTTGCCAGGCAAGTACATAAATTGTTTGACAGTTGCCAAAGTTATGGCTGGAAATATGAACTCTCATTTGGGCAAATCTATCAGCTGGTTATAATGCAGCAAATTAAAATCTATTATGATTAATATTTATGTTGATTTTATAGATGGCATACTTCTTAGGAGGTTCGAACCCTATACTTTGTGCGCAGTGTACGCCTTATTTTTTTTGTAATTTTTTATTATTATTTTTTTTTTTATTTAATATTTTTTTTTGAGAGTAATAGCAACGGAATTATTGTTTTTAATTAATTAAATATTTTTTTTTTTTAAATTTTCATCATTTTTTTTCATTTTTTTTTTCAGCGTAATAATAATTTAATTATTATTATTAATTAATTCATTTTTTAATTTTTTTGTTCAATTTTTTGTTTGTTTTTATTTTTTAATATTTATTTTTTTGAAGAGTAATATCAACTCAAATTAACAATTAAAAAAATACAAATAAAATGCGTATCGCTGCTACATTTGAGCCGGCGACTTCTCTTCTGCTAGTCCGACGCTCAGACAACGAGCTCTCTCTTATATGTATATTTGTAGATATAAATTTAATATCTTATTCATTCGCGTTCTTTTAATATCACATCTTATTTCAGTTGCATTATAATCACCTACTTATCCCGCAAATCAATTAATTTATGCCCCAGCTTAGTTCGACTCAATATTACTTTGCCATATATCTGCACAGTTTTCTTTGGCCATGTCAGCAGCTTATGCGAATACATTTGGGTCAGCAACAGCCCTCAAATAGAAAAATACAAAAACCATCTAATCATGCGCTACAAGTTGAAACTAATGCATAATTCGTGTTCTCCGCAAACAAAAGCAAGTCAATGTTTAACGAGAAGAAGTCAGCAAGAATTCAACTACCCCTCCGAATAAGACTCTTAGGGGTGGCTATGCCACACACAGTTGATACTCAGGGCTTGTTGCATTTCCTGCAAGTAATTTCGTTATGAGTTTTTGCTGTAAGGGCTGTAATCCTTATAAATGAAGCAGCAAATTTGACGCCAATGCAGCAGCATCAACGGGCTTGTATTGTAGTTTATATAGTTACTCAGGGACTTAATGCATTTGCTTGAACGAGTGGGGAGGGGGGGGCGGAGGGGGAAGCACGGTGGACCGAGGGTTGGTTAATACACGTTAATATCTTATGTTCTTCTCTCTGAAATTTTCGCTCATTTGTCAGGATTTGAGCACTGCCCGGTACACCTCCAAGAAAATTGCAATTGTATTTGTTGCTTTTGCGGGCAATGATGATTTATTTGCCACGCACGTGAAAGATTTTGGGCGCCGTCTCCTTTGTGCTGCTGGGCGGTCTGTTGGGCCTGGCTCATTAACTTTTGCTCAGTCCGAGACTCATTAAAAATAAATCCGTCATGGCAGGCGATTTTAATACGGCCATGTTAAGGCTATCAATGTCCAACTAGTTGGTCAGAGCGCAGCTTGTTAATGTCAGCTGAGAATCTATCTATCTCTGGGTTAATCATCTTAAGAGGGCTTATAATACAAAAGTAGTAATTAAAAGTGATTTGGTTGGAAGTTTTCTTTTACACATAAGCTTAACTTTGATTTACAAAACAACAAACACAATTTTTGTGTAGCACACTTTTGAGAGCATTGAAAGACAAGAGATATTTTAAAGACAAGGGAGAGATTTCATTTGTTTTATATTGAAATAATTAAGAAATGAATTACACGCCCAATTTTGATATAGCTTGTAGTTTCAACATTATTAATTTAACACGGTAATTTTAACGGGTAATTTTTGCTTGTTATTTATATTTCAAAAATGCTCCCAGCTTTTTTTTTTTTTTATTTTACATTCACACTAAAAACAAAACTTTAGAAAACTCGGGCGACGCCGGGTAATTTGTGCTAGCATATTTGTATTTTCATATTTTTATTCAAAAATGTCCCATCTTTTTTTTTCATTTTACATTCACACTAAAAACAACAATAGAAACAAATTTCAAAAGCCTGAATGTCACCATTAAAATGCTCAACCCAGTTTCCATTTGGCATTCTCTCTTTGTGGCATGCAACTGTCCCTCTAGGGGTGCGTGGAGGGGGTGCTTTGGATCCGCTCCCGCCCAGTAGGGCTGACCCGCTAAGTGCCGTTCGACACGGGCTCTACAGGGCGTCCAAGTTACGGTGCCTTTTGTTTTATGTCAAGTGCAAAATGTGCAATGCATAAGACAAAGCAACCGCATACCGAACAGTTAGCTCCCCCCCTTCATCCACACACCTCACCCGCTTGTTGCAAGCTGCTATTGTGTCACTTGCCAAGCACCAAACCAACAGCAACAACAACGACAACAACAACGGCAACTTCTGTGTGACACATTTGGCAATGCGTTTTTAAACTGCAAAATACAAAACGAAATGTGGCAGCCACAAGAAAGAACAACAACAAAAACAACAACAACGCAGAACAGCAAAAAACAAAGTCAGTTGCAAGTGGGCAAAAGTTTTTAGCATTTTTTCGCTTTTGCCTCGGCACTGAATTGCACTTAAAGTCAGCGCCAGTTAAAAACTTTGAAGCCAACGACTATAAGAAAACTATAGCTGAAAAAATAGCCAAAAATAAAACTAAAAAATAAAAAACGATATTCCTAGAAAAAAGAGATAAGTTAGATTAGTACAGGTGCAAATACCCTTAAAGCACGAAGTGCAAAATTTATATACATAAGCAAAGACTCAATTATTTTCTTAAAATTCTCCAGAAGTCGAGGCATCGAAGAAGGGGCAAGCCGTTTTATACATTATAACAAATCAAAACAAACAAACAATTAGGTTTTGCCTAAAAATTCTCAACAAATTATAGTATGGAAGGAGGAACAAGTTTGCAATCCTTGAGTCCAAAGCACAATCGATTATTGATAAAATGGAAAGGCTCCTTAAACAGATTTATTTTGTTGTTGTTAATGCATTAATAGTTTTTTAGTTATATATAATTATAATAATTTATAATTTATTATAATTAATTATAAAATGAATATGAGTATTTCACACAACAAAATGCAAGTACCCAGTGTTAGGGTATTAACAAAAAAACAAGGAACCGCATTGCATAGTAGAGTGCGAGAGAAACAATTGAAAACTTTATTGCTTTTGGCTTTTTCACTTTTGTTCGCAAGTATGTTGCACACGAGGCGCGTTGACAAAAAGGACAAAAAAAGAAACACAAAACGAGACCAAAAAGCTGGCGAGCAGAACAGAAAGAAAGAAATAAGGAAAGAAGAAAGTTTGCACTTTTATTAATTTTTAGAACTCAGCAGGAGGGGCACAGCCCCTGCAAATAGCCCTACACAAGTATGCAAGCTGAAGATGGCCACAAGGACACGGACGCCAACTCGGACTCGGACTCAGACTCGGACTCGGTCTTGAACTGAGTCCTTGGCAGAAACAACAACAACAACAATAAAAACAACAACAGAAACAACAACTCTCGGCAGCTGTGTGGTCAGCGGTCAGCTGGGGTTGTCCACTAATTGGGCTTGTGAAAATATTTGCTACGCTTATGAAAACAGTTGGCCGCATGCCACATGACCCTTGACTAAAATGACACACAAAGTGACACACATACCCACACACACACATATTGGGCGTAACAGTGTGTGAGAGACACATATATTCATACATAATTATAGGCCCCGTTTATGTGTGCACCAAATCGTGAATTGCTTAAACAAACATTTCCAGCATTTCAGTTTCAAAAGAACTCAAG